CCAGGTTTTAACGGCTTTTCGGAAGGCCTGGAGAGAGGTGAGGATCCGAATCTCTGTGGGGAGTTCGTTCCAAAGGGCCGGAGCCGCCACAGAGAAGGCCCTTCCCCGGGTAGTAGCCAGATGACATTGGCTGGTAGACGGAACCCGGAGGAGGCCTGCTCTGTGTGATTTAATGGGTCTTTGGGAGGTAATTGGCAGCAGGCGGTCTCTCAAGTACCCAGGTCCAATATGGAGATAGGGTGTTTTTATGCTCTAATACAAGCATTTGAGTAGGGTTAAATTAATTAATAATTAATCAGTAGAACTGCTTGCTTCCAGAAGTTGTAGGTGCACTGGAGGTTTTTAAAGAGATTGAACAGCCTTGTCTGGGATGGTATAAGGACTTTTTCTCAAGCAAGGGGTTCGACTACAACCCCTCAATGCTGTTATTCTGCATTCTTTTATGTTCAATAGTTAAAAGGACAACATACTGGGTTAAGTAACTTGCCATTGCCTTTTTTCTAGGGCTGAGAATGACTGACCCAAGGTCATACAGATGGTCTTATGCCTAACACCAGGTCTCCTGATCCTAGCTTGATGTCTTAACTTAGGAGTGTCAAACTCACGACAACACGGTGGTGTCACGTGTCATATCAGGACTCCCCCCCCCTTGCTAAACTGGGCATGCCCAGTGCATGACGCATCTGGCTCGCGGGCTGGGAATTTGACAGCTCTGCCTTAACTGCTTTCAAGTCTTTTAATTCTAACTTTTGCTATTTCTTCTCCATAGATTAAGCAGCTTACTTTAATTATCAAAATTAAAATATATATATATTTGCCAGCTCAGGTTAAGGGTATGCTTGCAGGGGTAGCCGGGTTCATTTGATATACTAAGATAAAATATTGTACAGTACCAAGCTATCCACTGTAATCCGTTGCTGCTTGGGTGTAAACCCAAGTCAAAGTTTGTTTAGCAAGTTAAAAAAGGATTAATTGGCTAGCCCCATCTGCTCATTTTCTATATGAAATGTTGTTGAAATGCTGTTTTCCAATCCCCAAGGATTTCAAGAAGCAACTGAGTTTTCTGGTTTGTTTGTTTTTTAAGACATTTTGCTTCTCATTCATCAGAGCTGAGAAGCTTCTTGGATGAGAAGCAAAACGTCTTCAAAGAAAAACCAGAAAGTTTAGTTACCTGTTGGGGGAAAAAAAAAAAAGCACCTTTGGTGGGACAACCATGACCTGGATGACTGAGAATCTCCATAGACATCTATTGCATCTTCTTTTTTAAAAACAAATCTTTGCTCACTGGGTGTTAAAATAATCTATAGGTTGAACTTGAGGTAATCTATAGGTTGAGGTAGCACTTCACTGAAATAAGGTGTTTCATTAATACACTAATTCTCAAATGGCTCATCTGAGTTTTCACTTTGTAGAAACCTGATCAAGGCAAACCTGATCAAGGCCAGCTTCAGCGGCACTGGGTCCACCGCGTTGCCCGGCATGGACATTCAGTATTATGGAAAGTGTTAGTCTAAGCCAGGGCTCACCAAAGTTGGCCACTTTAAGACTTGTGGACTTCAACTCCCAGGATTCCCCAGCCAGCCATGGAGTTGAAGTCCACAAGTCTTAAAGCGGCCAACTTCGGAGACCCCTAGTTTAAGCCCACGAGGAGGTTCCGGGCGGAAGACTGCCACCCGCTGACCACGTGATCCACAGCCAATCGGTGCCGGCGAAGAACCCGCAGGACCCATTTCGAATCCTTTTGTTGCAGGGGCGGCGATCCTAAAAATAAAAGCCGGACGATGGCGGAGACTCACCTGAGACGAGGAGCCTCGCGGCATCGCCTTCGGTCTCCCCCACCCCCCGATGCACGGCTAACCTCTCTTTCTCTCTCCACCTTCCAGCTTAGCCTCTGCCCGCCTTGCAGCGGGGCTAGGAAGGGTCTCACTTTTTGCCTTCCGGCTGACGCCGCTGCCAGTTTCTGCTCGGCTTCTCTTTGGCCGCTTCCTGGTTCTGCGCTTAGCTTTACTCCCCGGGAAACATTAAATAGGCTCTTCTTGGTTCCGCGCGGCTCAAGGTCGACCTTGCTTGTAGAAAAGGGCGGTGAGGAGCTGCATCAGTTTTGTTGAGCACAACCCTTTGGGCAGTCGGTGTAAATTTCGGAAGGAAAGAAGAAAGTTAATAAGCTCCTCTCGTCTCTCACCTCCCCCTCTTTCCTATTTATTTGTTTATTGTCACATGTATGCACTGACCCATCCCATTATCTGCCTACTGTGGGTGGCTGCCTAATTCATCATAACTGTATTTTATTTTTATTTTTTTTACATGGGGAGCTGTGTTGGAAGTAATGTTCTTCCAACAGTTCCAAATAGGGAGAAAGACACTGGGAACCTGGAGATTGCTTGGAAAGATGGTTTAATGGTGGACAGGACAACATGAGGGTTTTTTGGGGTCCTGGGCAAAATGAGCACATGGGTGAGAGAGAGATTTATACCCTCTGGAGTCCTGCCTTGGAGCTTCCTGTTCCTGTGTAAGAAATGTATTCTGATTGATTGTCAGACTCCCATGTGGCCATTCAAAGGTAACTTTGTGGGTTGTCTTCATGAGATTTTAAAACATCCAAAATTTATACTCACTAATTCGACAGACAACTCTGATGTACAAACAAAGAAGGTTTATTGAATTGTGTTTGCAAATTCCTCCCTTCACAATTTGGATTGAGATTGTGAAGCACCCTCTTCAAGTTTCACACAAGTCAGTTATACATTTCCACAATATACGTGTTCCATACAATATACCTCATGCCTGAAGTCCCTTACCTTCTGTGTTCATGACAAATGTGATTACCCCTGCCTAGTTACAACAGGATCTACCTTATCTTGTCTTTTACAATTTGTCCGGAGCGTGGGCTTACTTCCTTAAACATTCAGATTGCACTAACACGCAGTGATTAGCTCTTTATCATTTGTGTTTTTTATTTGGCCTTGCTATTGAGGCTTGCAGTAAAAGTCATTGACTTAAAGTATTTGCTTATTTTCCTTCTTTTTGCTTTGTAAGCCACCTGGAGTCCTTCGGGATGGGGCGGCATATAAATTTTGCAAATAAATTTTGCAA